ATAATAATAATAATAATAATAATAATAATAATAATAATAATAATAATGCAATCGATAATAATAATGTAACTGATCACATACTGAGCTGTTGCAAAACAATCGCTCAGACTGACTATAAACAACGTCACAACACAGTCACTTAGATCAGGGGTCCCCAACCGCCGGTCCGCGGACCGGTACCGGGCCGCGGAACAAGCCTTACCGGGCCGCTGGTTGCTGGGCGCCGCCATCTTTTTTTGGTAAAAAAGCGCTTCTGGTGAGCTTTTCCGGGTAGAAAGCTCACCGGAAGCGCCTTTTCGTCATAAAAAGATGGCGGCGCCCAGTTGACGCCGGTACCGGGCCGCGGCGCCCAGCTGATGTCGGAACCGGGCCGCGGCGTCGAAAAGGTTGGGGATCCCTGACTTAGATGGTCCACTGGAACATGTGTTGCAACTACCATCTGCCTGTAATAAAGACCTGGTGGGATCATAAGCCTGAAAAAGTGGTCGAAAATGAGCATGCAAAAAACTATTGTGTGACTTCCAAATACAGACTGACAAAGTTTTGGAACACAATAGCCTGGATATCATGATTGTGGAGAAGAAAAAAGTGTGGATCGTCGACATTGCCATACCTGTTGACAGCAAAATTGACGAGAAACAACTTAAAAAAAAATCACCAGATATCAGGACTTGAAAATCGAACTGCAGAGACTCTGGCATAAACCAATGCAGGGGGTTCCAGTGGTGCTCAGCACACTGGGTGCTGTGCCTAAAGACCTAGGCATGCACTTAAAAGCAATTGGCACTGACAAAATCACCATTGGTCAGCTGCAGAAGGCCACCTTACTGGGATCTGCTCATATAATTCGCCAATACATCACGCAGTCCTAAATACTTGGGAAGTGTTCAACTAGTGATTTGTGATACAAAATCCATCTCATTTGCTATGTACACTGTCATTTTTTGTATCAAATAATAATAATGGATTTTCTCTATGAAGTTAGCTTATATGGATTTAAAATTAAGGGAATGGTCTAACTTAGTTTCCATTCTTACTTCCATTTGTGGGGGAACATTAGCAGGAGAGAGAGATGTATCTCTATATGCTGTCTATGTGTATTGATAAGCTAAAACAGAAGTGCCTGACTTCTGCATTCCATGCCATCCCTACACTTGGTTGCAGGTCTCTTCCAGACTGTTGCTACTGAAACTACAAAATACAGGGGTGTTATTGTATCAACTGTGATTAACTAAATTAGTTATTGTTTCCTTTTGGCCCTGTCTTTAATTCCTTTTTTGTGTGTAACCCTTAGCATACCAAGATCAGGTACAGCTATCAGCCTCCAAATTACTGTGCAATCCCAGACTGGTTTGGTTAGATTCAGTTTGCAGCAAATGATATTATTCACCCACGTTCTCATGCAACATTTTTTTATTGAAAATCTACTTAAGAATGAAAAGAGAGAGAGAGAGAGCCTAGAAGCTTTGTTGTCTTTAATGAGACCCACTGAAGGAATCAGAGACCAACAGAAGTGAAGCTGCATTAAAGATATGCTAACACCAATCCTTTCCCCAGGCAAGAAACAAGAAAGGTGAAACAGACTAGCTTGGAGAAGACCACACTCCAAGCAAACTGCCCTCCAACTTGTTAGCATTTCAGAATAGATACAATATTCCATCTGAGCAGCTTATTGCAAATCAAAACATTTGAAACCTGAAAATTATAAATTGAAATCCAAAGTTACAACAATGACAAGAAGAAAGGCTGGGTATGCTTGGGAGAAGGTTGGTCTTTCTTTGCATTTTTATAGCTTTTTATCATTTTTTTGGTTATGTCTAGCTCAATGGACTTAATACAATAAAATATCCCAAAATGAACTGTAGACAGCCACTGCTCCATGAATCTGGAGTATATGACTCTTAAATGTAGACCCATATATCTTTAATGGAAATCCAGCATGGTTTTGATTACTGCAGTCTATATCCCACCTGATGCCAATACTACCATAGCTTTGGGATTCTTGTATAACGTTGTTAGTAATCAGCAGAATAAGTATCCTGATGCTGTGCATATCATAGTGGGGGACTTTAATCAAGCTGATTTAAAAGTAGTGCTCCCTAAATTCTATCCGCATGTTAAGTAAGCTACTAGAGGAGAAAACATATTGGATATGGTATATACCAACATCAAACGTAGCTAT